TCGTCCCTGAAGATTTTTGCCATTACAAAGCGACTTGAATGCGTTATGCGTATTGCGAATGCGCTCGTTTACACTCGCAAACCCATTTCTACCTAGAAGGTATGGAGTTCGGGTGGCTCACTATTCCTCGTGGAATCATCTTTGACGCTGGGGTAGGCAACACGTAGAGTTAGAGCTGCTGCGATCATATATTGTCCAACTGTACATGACTGATCTTTTAAAGTTTGACAGAACGTCTTGCCTCACCAACGGTGATTATGATTATGATTTATTATCGGTTAGTAAAGCAGAACAAAACACAACATAGTTATTGAAAACATTGACCGATAAGCGGCAGCATGCAATTAATGAACAAATGATAAAACAAAGCAGCACATGGAAATAAGTTGTAGAAAATGGATTGAGCGGAATAAGCGGGGGAAGGGAGCGGCAACGAGGAGGCAGTGGAACACTTGGTGGTGCAGAGCAGTGGCCCACCAACACTGCAAGTCGCGAGAAGAGAGAAGAGCGGCTCCGGATACCATCTTAGTAGGTCCGTCAACTCCACCAAGGTCCACTTAGCATGTGCGTCCATGCTGAGGTCCCGCAGCGAATAACATGAAGGGCAAGCTGGCGATCGCAGTCCAGCGTAGATAGCGTAGTGTTGTTTGAGAAGACAAAGAACAGCTTTCTGCCAGACCAGAGGACGCAGACAAGAAGCACAGTTAGTCGTGTTGATTAGGTATATGGGTGGTAGCGTTTAAGGTAGGAGTCCCAGAGCATGAACCCACCACTACCCTCCAGCCTCACAATGGCACGCCTTCGAGTGGAGAAAAGGCACAATGTGGACCTGTTCACCTCGCACATGGTAAGGGCCAGAAACGGAGGTGACCTGCGAGTGCCACAGTACGTTTAGCTAAGAGAAACCAGCACCAGTTTATGCGCGCCGTCGTCACGTGGGTCTCTCGAGCGGCATCAACCTCTATGGCTACCTGCCAACCAAGGGTATATCATCGGGTCGTGCAAGATAGCACGTCAGGTATCGCCTTTCGCAGTCCTGTGCAATACCGCTGCGACCCACACCTTCGCTTTTAACAAACATTTTTCCCACAATTTCATGTCGAGCGAGGAGCGGCAGGTATATAGTAAAGCGCGTCTGAAACGGGAAAATCAATGATCGAAAAGTTCCCCGACACCATGCATACCCTCCCCCGCCCTCCCCCAAATCGGCGACCAGATACAACTCCCTGATAGGATTCGCAGAACGATGGTGTTTTCTGCACCAACTACCTTAGCAGTCCTTTCTCGAGCATTTTTTCTCGGTCGTTGATGATGCACTCAGCTCTGGCAACTGGATTCTCATGGGATTCATTACTGCAGACACTGTGTGTCAGTGGAGTGGTTGGTGGTTAGGTGCGGTGCCAGCGCGTTTTCTACCGATTGCTGTCACTTGCCCGCTTCAACAACTGGTGGAGCACGGGCTGGCGCCGTGCCAATCCAACCCCCCTAACGCGCCATATGCAGTGAATCCATGTGTACGTGAATTGCTTTCATAGCGAGTGTTAATTCCGATTCTGTGATTGTCGCGTCCGAAGGTTCGGAATTCGTTTCTTTTTGCTGTTCCTAATATCACGATAAGAAGTGAAATCTGTCTGTACAAGCAGAATGAATGAAAATGTTCTTCCGGTGAATATAACAATAGTTTTGATGAGGAATGCACTTTAAAAAGATTTATGTATGAATTTACTACGATGCACAGCTTTTTTTTGCTCTCTCTTTTATTCTTTTGATTTTGGCTCCATTCGTTTTGAAGATGGCACACTTTCCTTTGATTTCTGCTCCTTTTTCGATTCTCAAACCTTTTGAGGCCTCACTCCTTTCTGCTGCTCCATAATTTCGATCAGATTTCTGGCTTCTGGGCTGTTGATGCTTTCGCAAAAGATGTTCAGGAGGAAAATTTCCAGGTGGGTAACCCTCAGGTGGATAGCCCTCAGGAGGATAACCTGGAGATGGGTAGCCTTCAGTGG